AGCCGAGTTATTATCATCAATGAAGCCATTCCCACAAGTCTCTCCCTCAACCATGTGGTCAAGTTTTGATTATCGCTCATTGACCAGAGCTCGCCAATTACCCTCAGCAGGCCTTGAACACAGATCCGACCAGAGCACTGCTCAGGTGATTGACTTCATTTAAGGCAGGAGTAGAAGATATTGGATCAGGGAAAACCAATTTGCATCCCTTACTGAAGCACATGAGCTCGTCCTTTATCATATTTGTTCAACATTGACTATCGGACTGTTAAAGAACACTGGATAAATACGTTACTAACATCACTGTCTGATCTAGATGTAAATCTAAATGCTTTTATTTTTGAATGAGAAGTTGATTCATATTTTCATTACAAATTATATTATTACAATTATAATTTAAAGGGAAAGTTGAAGTAATATATGAATGTTTTTGAAAGAAGTCTTTTATGCTCATCAAGGCTGCATTTATTTAATCAAAAATGCAGCAAAAACAGTAATATAGTGAAATATTGTTACAATTTAAAATACTTTTGCATACTTTTATATTTAAAAATGTCAAAAAAAAAAAAAAAAAATGTTTCTTTTCATTTATTCCTGTGATGTTAAAGCTGAATTTTGAGTGGACATTGGATATATTCCTTGTAATTATTAATGTTGAAAACAGTTGTGCTGCTTCATAATATTTTGGGAAAATGTGATAGGCCTACTTTTTTGGTATAAATACAAAGTTCAAAAGAAAAGCATTTATTTGAAATAGAAATGTTAGAAAAATATAAATGTATTTTCTGTCACTTTTTATTGACAGATATTACTCAATTTAATGTGTCTTTGCTGAATAAAAGTATTAATTTCTATACACACACACACACACATATATATATATATGAATTTTGGAATTTCTTAGTGTTTGTATCTTTTTTATTTTCATATCCAATTTTTGTTTTAAATTCAAAAGTCCCAAGATGCTCTGTTTATATCGTTTTCTTCCAGATTTTCAAAGTGGTCTTATATATATATATGAATTTTGGAATTTCTTAGTGTTTGTATCTTTTTTATTTTCATATCCAATTTTTGTTTTAAATTCAAAAGTCCCAGGATGCTCTGTTTATATCGTTTTCTTCCAGATTTTCAAAGTGGTCTTAGACTTTTGGACCCCACTGAGTGTTATGAGTTTCTCTTTATCGCTGTATGAATATTATAAACATTTCTACCTGCATTTCATATAAGAACTTTTACCAGTGTGATACATCAGATCATTGTTCTGTAAATAGACTTTTCATTATTACAGGCGGAGCACTGAAAACTGAAAATTACTGGAGAAAACGGTCCATATTGGACACAAAGGAAACATTTCATTCATCGAACACATGCTAGAATCCAAAAATGCAATAAACCGATCTATCCTCTTGGCTAGAGGATCAATAAACATTATCACCGAAATAATCAAAGATGAATTAGCAATGAAATTGATCAGATTTCTTCCTCAACCCATCTGTTTCTTTGCTATTGGGGCAGCATTCTCCCGGAATCCTTCAACCCTCATGCAAACACATGCAGACTGAAAGCAGAAGACAGATGACAGAAAACAAAACACTATTCTGAATTAATCACAGTAGTAAAATTGTAACACTTCTTGTGTGTTTGACCATAAAATCCTTTTTAACAAACAAAAGCATTGAGCCACATAAAAGTACCAAACCACTACCACTCTCTTTCTTTCATTGCACATCGTCTTGTTTCTGTATTTATTAGCACTGAAAGATGCCAAGAGCTCCAGCTCTAGCTCTGTAGGGAGATACAGCTGGCTGGATACCTTTCATTTGGAAAAACAATAAAACAACCTCTGCTCTCCATAAACGAATCAATACTTTTACTGCTCGCTTCCCTTCGGCTTCATACGTTAAACAACAAACATTTAAATCTCTTTGTGTACAGAAGCTGCCTGTCCTGCAGGATGTAAACACGGAATTCATATGGGATCAGCTGATGGATACATCAGAAGCTGTATGAAATCAATACTGAGCCCTATCAAACTCCCTACACATGTGAGGGGAGTTCAAGAATGACAATCCCATATAATACACCGGCAAGCTTCATCTCCCCTGAGACCTGTCCTCTGGGAATCTCCGTCTCTCCTTCTGTCTGTCTAATTCTTTCTTTGTCTCTCTCCGTTCACAAGAACACATAATACAAAGAAATATGGACATACACAGACATGCTAAAAGCCTTAGAAAATCTATGCATGGATCACCAGGCATTCTGAGCCAGTGCAATGATGGTGCATTTCAAAAATTGCATAAAAAAAAAAAAAAACTCATTTATTATCTGTCACACCATTTAAACCATAATAGCTTTATAGTGTGGACAAAACCCTCCCAGCAGAATAGAGCTTACCAGGTAGTTAGGAGTGAATCCACTTCATCTGACAGTTCATAGATCATGACGGCCTTTTCTACCAGCAGTATGTCATTGTTAATTCTGACAACACCTACAAATCTTTGTTTTTTATAATAGAATGGTGACGATAAGAGGTGTACTACATCAGCACAAAGCTTTTAAAGGAATAGTTCAACTACAAAATTAATTTATATCTTTCAGGAGATGTAGGGCTTGCTTTCTTGTGTAGAACACAAAAGGAGAAGTTTAGCAGAATGTCCAAGCTGCTCATGAAAGTGAAAAAAAAAAACATTTTTAAGTCTTTTTCATACAAATATAGTGTATGGCTGCAGAAAACTTGGAAATGTTGTGCAAAAGGATGCATTTGGACTACTTTTATGGTGCTTTTTGTCCTCTTTGGAGCTTAAAATCTCCAGTCCCCATTTACTTGCATAGTATGAAGAAAAAAAAAAAACAACGTAAACATCCTTCAGAATGTTTCCTTTTGTGCTCCACAGAAGAAAATCAGTCATATATGTTTGAAACAACATGAGTGTGAGTAAATTAAAATTTTCAGAACAAACAAAAAAAAAGACATTAACTGAACTTTCCTTTTTTGGATGAACCATCTCTTTAAAAATATTCACACTCCACGATACAAACACTGGTTTTGTTAATTTATGTGAGTATAAGTGGTCTGGTTGTACTGTACAAGCAACAACATCTCCTGTGTTCAGCAGTGGAGGAGAGTTCTGGAATTGCATTGAAAGCAAACAGAAGAACTGCAGCAGCAGTGCAGGATTTAAACAGACAGACTGTGCGCACAACAGAGAAGTGAGCTGAACTATAGCGATTAGCTATCAATGTCTTTAATGAGGTTAGAACTCACTCTGCTGGACTGGCTCGCCATGCAGACGGAGGGGGACCAGCCTCCGCAGAGTCAGGCTTTTTTTGAGGGGAAGAACACTTACTCATTCCTCTAATCCAGTCTGAGAGACATAATAGCTTTATATCTAACACACACAACTTCAGCCATTCAGAATACCAAAGCAGAATGCATTCAAACTACTTTTAAATAAGCTTGAAAAATGAATGTGTTTCTTTGTTCAGCTACAAAACATAACAGTGAAGAATGCTTTATAAGAATAACAAATCCCACAGTTTCACTCCATATTTGACCCAGACCTAATGGCTTTAGGGCTACAGAGATGTTCTGTTCCCTATGGAGAATCCAAATCAATACTTTTACAACAACCATTCCTGCTGGAAAATGAAAAATAATGTGAGCCTGGCAGGCAGAATATTACATGCAATGGTACTATAGTTTAACCTCATATGACCCAGATATGATTAGAATTTCAAGAATTTACAGTATTTATAGGATAAATGATATAATGCACATCTCAATGGAAGTCTGACTTTCTCCCTTTCAAACACCTTGTTTAATTGTTGGCAGCTAAACATGGAGTGCAGCAAGCCATCCATGACGGCAGGGCACTGAAGCCAGCAGGAGATAATAACTCAGTACCAGCAGGACAGAATATAGTGGGGCAGTCAGCTAAAAGCAGATCACCACAAAAACAAAACCAGAAAATATACTGCTGTTTGAAGCACACGCAACAACATTTAAAGTGCATAGCTGATTGGGGAAAAAATAGCATTTTCTTCATTTTTTGTAGGATTCAAGCTGGTCTTGAATAGCCCAGGTACTAGATTTAGATCTACTATTCCTAAAATAAGTTATTAAAGGGACGGTTCACAAAAAAATAAAAATTCTGTCATCATTTACTAACTTTCATGACATACCAACCCTGTATGACTTTCTTTCTTCTGCAAAACACAAAAGAAGATATTTTGAAAAGATTTCAAACTGTTTTGTCCATATAATTAAACTTAAAGCCAAAAACACACTGGACTCTATAGGACCCTACTTTCATTGTAAAAAGACATTGTTCAAAATACCTTCTTTTGTTTTCCACAGAAGAAAGTAAGTCATTAAAGGTTTAGATCAACATCAATGTGTGAATTTTCATTTTTGGGTAAACTAGAAGGGATGATGATCATGTTCGAGATGATGATTAAACTATTATTTATTATGTTTATGTAGTATTATTGTATACTATTATAGTATTTATAATTTTATTTTTATATTTTCAATTATAATTTTAATTTAGGTCGTTATTTTTTTTTGGATTTAGCTTTCATATATATACAGTATATATCTCTCTATATATACATCTCTCTCTCTCTCTCTCTCTCTCTATATATATATATAAGTAATTTTAGCACTTCATCTTGAATTTTTTTTTTTTAAAGATTTTTTTAATTACATTTTTTTTTTCAGCTTTATGTCAGCGAACAAAATTTGAGTAGTTTTAGATTTTGTTTACAATAACGACCCTGTTTCAGATTTCTATAGAGGACTAAAAACACTTATAGCAACCACTGATCTGAAATACCAAGTCATGAATTATATGATAAACGAAATCAGGCCAATACAGAACCTGTGTCTGTAGAATGCAAAAACACCTGTCAGATTTAGCTTTAAAACCAGTGCAGAAATTCTGCAGATAACACCTGACTCTATATGCGTGTCACCGCTGAGGTGCAAGGTCACGGCTCACCTGTCTCTCTGCTCTGTGGGCTCTTCTGCTCCTCATCCAACCTCAGGTGGCCCAGCAGATGCTCCAGAACCTTTTCGGGGGTGGCGGGCACGGCAGCGTACCTGTGGGAAACAGAAGAGTCACTGGAGTCTTCCTCTTCGATGGAGGACAGGGAGCGACTGCTGCACCAGCCTTCCTCCTCGCCCTCTTCCTCCGTGCCCTCCTCATCAATGTAACGGAAATACGGCACGTCGAATGTGGGCACAGTAGCTCGGTCGGCGCTGCTGGTATCGGAGGATTCGTCCTCATCCTCGTCTTCCTCCTGTTCCACCAAAGCGGCCGGCATTAACCTGCCGTCCAGGCGCGGGTCCGGGGCCACTGCACGCCTGCTGCCCATGTCAGCATCGGCGCCGACTTACCACATTGACCTGGAGGATTCGAGGAGACTTCGTGCAACAGCCTGACGTCCCCCTCTTTGCGCTCTAGAGCTTCTAGTTTAAGCCAAACGTATCCATAGGAAAGAGCGCACGGCAATGCAGCACATCCTCAGACGAGTATGTGTGTGTGTGTGATTGAGTGCGAGAGAGAATGACTTCGGGGAGATGAGAGATAAAGATAAAAATAAAGTGACAAAGAGGCAGGGCTGGACAGATTACATGCAAGACGGACTGACAAGAGTGAGAAATGAGAGACGAGAGAGAGAAAGGGTGTGTGTGCTCTCAAGCGCCGCTCGCATGCGACTGCTTACCTCCCGGTCCAGGAGGAGGAGGAGGAGGAGGAGGAGGAAGAGGAGGAGGGGGGAGCTCTCGGTGACGTCGTCCTCTGAGGCAGCAGCACCTCGTGGCTCCGCTCTCTCTCCCACACACGGACAAACAGCCTACATCAAACGGCGCTTTTCAATGGGTTCGTTTTATCGTGACCCAAAACAAAGCTACTGTAAGCACTCATGTCTACTGTCTATTTGCTCATTGGAAAGGTGGATTAATTCAACTAATTTAGTTATTTGATATTGCGTAATCATGAGTTGCAATCAGACTATGCTGAAAAGTTGTGAGTGGTGAGCTGGTTTGTTGACTGTATATGTATAATGAAAACATATTTGAACAGGGATAGTCCACCCAAAAATGAACATTATGTCATTATTTACTCACCTTTATATTGCTTCAAATCTAGTTTCCTTCTTCTGTGGAGCACAGAAGAAGATATTTTGAAGAATGTTGGTAATTAAACAGTTTCGGTTCCCATTGACTTCCATTGTATTGACAAAAATAGCGGGAAAGTCAGTGGGAACGGAGACTGTTTGGTTATTAACATTCTTTAAAATGTGTTCAGCAGAAGAAAGAAACGCATTTACATTACATTTACATTTAGTCATTTAGCAGACGCTTTTATCTAAAGCGACTTACAAATGAGGACAATGGAAGCAATCAAAATCAACAAAAAAGCAATGATATGCAAGTGTTATACTAAGTCTCAGTCGGGTTAACGCAGTACACGTAGCAAGGTTATTATTTTTTTTTAATTATATGAAATTAAATAAAAAGAAAACAGATAGAATAGAAAAAGAATAGAGCAAGCTAGTTTTAAAGGCCTTTTTTTGCTTTTGTTAATTGTATAATAAATAAAAAGAAAACAGATATAATACAAAAAGATTAGAGAAGCTAGTGTCAGTTTTTTTTTTTTTAAGAAAACAAGCAGTAAATGAATAGAGTGCAAGTCTAAAAGCTGCTCGGATTGAGTTGGGCAACTCATATAGACTCATACATACTCATACAGATTTGGACTGACATGAGGGTGAGTAAATGAAGATAATTTTCTTTCCTTTTTTTTCCTTTTAAGTCAAGCTCATAAATATATTAAATATGAATGCCATAGCATTAGAACAAAATATTAAACAAACGACCATTTATTTTAAAGAAAGATAGCACAAACATATTTACAATCAAAACATTTCACAAAAAAGGTCTTAAACTATTTTTTTTTTTTAAGTATTTAAGGGGTCATGAACTGAGAAACCAAAATTCCCTTGATCTTTTCACATATAAGAGGCCATTGTACTATAAAAAAATGTACGTTTTAGCAGTGGCGGCTCGTGGGTTTTAAAATAGAGGAGGCACACTAATTGTATTGGGCTGGGGATCCCTGCCGATTATTATTATTATTAACATTAAATCGTCCTCCTCCCATTTTCACCTTAAAATTAAGGGGAGGCTGTGCCTCCCCTGCCTCCCCTGACGAGCCGCCACTGCGTTTTAGAACTCAAAACTCTCGTGTTATATTTGAAGGCAGTCTGCCAAAACGACAGCTTTTGGAATGTTCTACTCTATGATGTAATAGTGTAGATAAGCGATACCTCTGCAGAAGAAGATCAATGCCTGCTTCTACATCGCTGCCTGTTTAGCTCCGCCCACCGATTCGCACATGTAGTGTAGATATAGACAAGGGCAACTGCAGGTCTACGCAGAAACCAAACGATAAAGATGGCTTTGTCTTTGCACTGCCTTCCTTCTGATTCCAACATTAGGAAAGAGTGAATGAACTTTAGTTTTAATGAAGATCCAGACCACATCAGTAAGAAATTGGTCCTTTGTTCACTTCATTTTACCGCGGATTCGTTTACAAACAAGGCACAATCCGACGTGGGATTTTCAAAAATATTGAAACTAAAAGACGATGCTGTGCCGACTATGTTGGATCTGACAGTAATGTTGCAACACAAGTGTGAGTAACTGTTTGCATCGTGGTCACTATTGCAGAAAATAGCTTCTATGATGTTTTTTTTATGTAAAAATCTTGATAACATTATAAGTGGACCTCAGAGAACAGTACAAAATAAAAAAGGCAGTTCATGACCCCTTTAAATATAAAGCAATAAAAAATACTGTTAAAAATAAGATTATGACATTTTCACAGCAACATTTGTTTGCAGATGCCATAGACAGAATTACTTTGCAGTGGCTTGTAATTTCATAAAGAACTGCAACATGATACATGATTCAAGATAAACTATTATGTATTATGAAAGAGATTTATAAGAATAATATTCACAACTCTGAATCACCAGAGTAAAATACTGGCTCATCATTTAATGATGTGAGCATCATAATGACAGGCAATAATTTGTCAATAATATGCCAAATATAAATACATAAACAATCCTATTGTCACAATGACAAAAAATATTTATTTTTAATGAAAATAGAATATTCTGTTTCTTGGCCTTAATGAAATATTTATAGATAGCTAGTTAACATTTATTAGTGAGGGTTGCAAAAAATACATTCGGGCCCATGACAATTTGAATACATGCATTTTTAACCGGGGCTTTAGTGTCAAATAGCCTACTTTTAGTGGCCATTGCATATGTATTGTAGGTGTATATGTGTATACAGAATGTGTTTGTGTGTGTATGAAGGAAAGTTTCTGGGAACCAACATTTCACTGTTATTGTCCTGTAAAAGCCCTGTCACTTTGCCCTGTGTGTGTTATCAATCTTACACAGCTCTCTGAACACACTGAAAAACACACATACTGAGAACAAAGGACTCAATCCATCCTATCTCCAATATTCATATACTCTTAAAACTCAACAGACATGTACAAACACAATTCACTACATCAGACATAACCATTGCTGTATATAATTATGTATACAAAATGCTAATTTAGGTGGTCAAACATTGGCTTTACTAGTGCAGACTAAACCATACAAAAGACCCTCATAAACTGTCTGAAATGGAAAGCCAGAAGAAACTTTGATCGTATATTAATTAGGGGTGTAACGGTACACGTATTCGTACCGAACCGTTTCGGTACGGGTCTTTCGGTTCGGCAACTTGTTCAGTAAACCATTTAAAAAAAAAAGTTTTTCCCCCTGCTGTACCGAAATCATACCGAACCGTGACGTTAAAACCGAGGTACGTACCGAACCGTCATATTTGTGTACCGTTACACCCCTAATATTAATACTTAAAAACCACTCTGGACTCTGAACTCCAATAAAGTATAGTATAGTATAACTATAGTTTAGCCAGCATGTGAACTGCTGGCGTGACACTCTGGTGTGTGTAAACATGGGTGTGAACCTCTCACGCCTTCCATAATGCTTCAGCCAACAACATACGGACCAGGATCTCGCCGTCGCTCTACGAAAACATCCTCATTACAATGATACACTAAGAGAAGCGCATTTGAAGTTAGCAGTAATTAATTGATAGATCATTCAGGGTTTGTGTGTGTGTGTGTGTGTGTGTGTGTGTGCGCGTTTTAATGAGCTGATTTTAATGCTCTCTGTCCCCAGACCACAGCAAACAGCACATCAGTCAATGTGGCGCGTGTGCGGCCGTAATTAGGCAGACAGACAGGCTGGAAGGACCAGCACTTTTCTGCTCTAATTGCCCATTGCACTGAAGCATTGAGAGACCTTCAGTAATCTTGCACGCGCGCACACACACACACACACACACACACACACACACGTGCATGTGCACACTGCAACCCCCACACACACTCGTGATGATCAGCACAAACTGCATTAAAACAGCCACAATCTCAGGCTCATCTCCCCAGGCAGAAGTTTCTGCTTGGCTTTGGCCAGGCAAAAATCTCCATTAATGGCAGCGTATCATAAACAAGTCCTGCCCATATATCTAGACTCCAGGGGAGGAAATCTGAACGTTTAAGTAGTGGCAGAGGAGCATTACATAGGATTGAAAAGTGGCATTTAGTGGCATTAAGATGTGCTAAGGCTTTCGCTGGAAGTGAAGTGAAAACTTCTGGGCTGTTAAAATGCCACCTTCTTCAGCTATAATGGCATCAGTGCGGGCTGGAGGCAAACTCGAATGAGCTACACCTGTTTAATGCAAGAATCTATTTGTGTCTTTTATTCTACCCACAGAGTATCCATTTGCATGCATTTTTTTTGAATGGGTACAAGTGGCAGTGGATTTGATGTCAGAGGCAAAATAAGATACGACCAAATGAAAATTAAAAACGTAGGAGTTTTCATCATAAAGGTGCAGTCACACTGCATCTATTGTTAATAATGTAGATGTAAGAAGAAGCACAGGTCACACAGAAGTCACTTTCAAACCAAGCAGCTTTCTGTTGGTCAATGCGGCAGGCAAATTCACTGACCAACTGAATCAGTTGCAAAGTCTGTGTGGGAAAGTCTTTCGTCCTCATGCAAAATTCCAAATTACATAGATTCCTATTGAAGTTACTGTATTTCACCAGTGGAAAAATTGCAGAGCAATAGTAAATGTAAAGGCACATTTTAGTCTTGTGATACCAATTTTGCTTAGCAAATTCCAAATTCATTTTACATTTCATATTGTTTGAAGGCATATTCAAAGATGTCAGGGTGAAACAACTGTCCTGAAGAAAATTATATCAATTTATAAAACCTTTCTCCAAATCGAAGTCATATGGTATGACCAATAAAAAAAAATAAAAATAAAATAAAATAAAATAAAAGAACATTAAAAAGGAAATGAGAGGACACCTGCAGACCCTCAATACTGTGTGTCTTAAAATATAAGATAATTTGACCTTTTTATGACAAGGCAAGGTTA